TTTTTTTCCCCCCCCCCCCCCCCCTTCTTCTTCTTCTTCTTCTTCTGATTTACTGCAACTCTTTGTTGCTTAGTGACCAGATGTGATACGACCCTAAAAATTAAATTCTTTTCCTCTTTTTCTTCTTATGTGATGATCAGATTTACAATGTAATGATTATTATTTTTTTTTTGTGATGGTTTTGTTGTTTTATGTGTTTATATTTTAATTTTTCATATATTCTTGAATCATTGGATTATTGAACCTAATGTTAACTGGTTTTTAAAATTTTGTAATCGTTTGTTTGGTTAGATGATTAAATCATCGAATTACATTATTTAGTTGTTTTAAGTGCTTGATTGATATGTTTGTGATCAATCTGTTTGATTGTAGTATATATGTCAACATCGAACGAAGGTTCAACTGTTTGCTTCGATAAAGCACTCACTTCGCTTCGCTTCTCACTTCAATTCACTCGCTTCGCTTCGATAAATATCAAGAGACCAGTTCGCTTTGGTCACTTTATACACCTTAAATAACACTAGTTTCGATTTTGTGGAAATGAAAATGTTCTGGTCGTTTCAGTGAAGAGAAATGAAATTTTGATCCTTCGCATTGGACATTCCCCACATCATAGAGAGAAGACTAATATGACATACAAGGGAAATAATACTAATAATAATATAAATCCATAATACAGAGCTTAGTGACAGATATATTAAATGTTAGTTTCAAATAAAGCACACGTTTCCATCTTTTTGAAATATGATTTCAAAATAATTACGCAGATAGGTGAAGTTTTTGACCATAAAATTAATCTATGGGCAAAATAAACCTTAAGAGACTGTTTTTTAAGAAAATTAGAAGACTGCAAAATCATATCATTTTCCTCGATCTTCCCTTTTGTCCATTTCAGTGATGTTTATAATCTAACTGTATATCATACGTGTACTCACTGAAAACTTCTGATCACATGGTTCACTTGGAGAGTATTTAACTGTGTGTATCTTTTCTTTTTCTTCCCTTCTCCCGCCACGGAAAAACTCATTTATTAGGACAAAAGAATCTAGGAGAACCAGGGCAGATGGTGACATGGTGTTGTTCAATTCCTTAATAATGTTGTAAGATGCATTATGTTATAACTTATCCTTAGTCTATGCTACATTACCCCAGATAGAACGAAACCTTGTTGATATCAGAACAATTTACAGAGTTAAATAGAAAATCTGTCAAAACAATTAAGAATAAACTAGAAAAGCTACCTGGATAACAATGCTGGATCCCAATGAGATGGAACAGCCTTCTTAACTTCATCTTTGAGTACTAGTGGAGATGTTGTCAGGTGCAAATAGCAGAGTGAGATAAAATAACCATCAAATGCCAGATATTTGGCATACGCAGCATCATTCAACCAGGCTCCAGTTAAATCAAATAGAGCATTAATATAGGCCGAAGGAATTTTTCCTTGTACTGAAGATTTCTGATTAAGTAACTCTGACATCTGCAAGACAAATTATATGGAAAAGAAAACAAAAAGGACTTTAGACTAACCAAAGCACAGAAAGCTAAACAGACTGTAAAAAGGCTTGAAGAAACAATATGTATAAACTATGAACGAAGCAGATGAAAATAATGAGAGCACATAAAAATCCAACCTCCCCCACCCCCCAAAAAAAAAAACAACTTAAACATATTTTAAAGCTCCTCTCCAGTGTCCAAACCAAAAGCTCAATGGTACACAAACTTAAACTAGTAGTCAGGTTCAATGGCTTGAGCTGGATGTTTCCAAGCAGGCAGTAAGGCAAGAGACACTAAGCCTCATATGCTTATATCTGCGGCTTCAATCTGGTATCCATGCACAGCAAATATGTCATCCAAATTAATAAATCCAATGGCCCAAGCTATATCAGTAAAGGGAAAAAATCATAAGGCCTCAGCTATGTATGTCAAAACATCAGTCCCATGGGCCACAGCTCACCCAACCACATTTAAAATTTTCTCCCTATCTCACATACAACTTGAAGTCAATGCTCCACTCATATAATATTTATTTCCTGTTAGAAAGCTGAATTTTCAACTTATAAAAACAGGTCAAGATTGATTTAATTCTCATCTATTTTGGCTAATGGTACAAAATTCATCTCAAAATATATTTATTTCCTGCTCAAAAACATCATTTTCTCTACACATCTCCTAATGTCAAATAACTCAACCAATATTCTCTCAATTAAGCTGAATTCTCAACTTATAAAAGCACAATAACTATCAAAATTAATCAAATTTTCATCTACTTTGATCTAATGACACAAAATTAATCTTAAAAAAGTTTTTTCATTCAAAAATATGATTTTCTCCACACGCCCCCAATATCAAACAACTCTATTAATCCACACCTACATCTCTCCTCTACATCTCTTTTAATTTTCTTTATGTTCACTTTAATTTTAAATTGCGTAATTAAAGAAAAGGAAAGAAAAAATAAATTTGTTATTTAAAGTACAAATATTGCATGATCAATGTTCAATTTTTAGAATTGGAAAGTGTCTTCAAACACGGATTATTGCTAGTATGCTGATAAACTACCACTCAGTTACAAGTCCATTAAGGGACGGACATCAAATGTTGACTTGCTCAATTGACAGCATTCATTCAATATCAGTATATGTCCTTTTGAGCCAAGCATATGCGATTTTTCATCAATCTCTTTACTTGTTTCCTAAGGTATACCTTCACCATAAGCTCCATCAATATTTTATCAATCAAAATCTCTACCATCACATACTCAACAATCTAATATATGGAAACTCAAAAAGAATTTTCAATTTTCTATCTCAGGTATATTTAATATTAGTTTGTTCACACATATATTATTACGGAACCAATATTAATAATTAACAAGTATTTTTTTCTAAAAAACAATTATACAGAACAAATTATCAGAGATACAAGGAAATCTAAGTTTGTGCTTAGAATAGTTTATGTGCGTGCAAAATCCTGCACAATATAAAAAACGAGAACAGGTCTCTCCCTTGGTGAACTCGAGTGATCTGGCTGAGTGACCAAACGCGCTGCTTGGGACAGCCTGCAAGGTACGGTGGTAACTTGGAACGGCAATGGGAGATCCTGGGAACAGAAGAACGATCCAGTAAGGCTGAAAAAGGTTCCTGGAACAAAGAAGAACTAGTTAGAAGGGCGCCGGAGTGTTTTTCGGCGTATCCCCTCCGACGATCTAGTCAGTCTTTGAGAAAGAGAGAGGAAGGAGAAAACACTGAGTGAGTATTGTAGTAAAGAGTTTTTTGTTGCATACCCGTCTTGCCTTTTGCAAGGAGTATTTATACCTCAAAAGCTCATGATTGCTGTCAGTGTAGTCAGTAGGTGATCATTAGGTACAGGCAGTGTGCGCATTGATTCTGATGAGGAATGTCTTCTCTACTTAACTGCTCGGGGTCCCGAGCAATCAATACTGGGTCATCGGGATGCCGACGGTACAATGTGCTCCTCTCGGGGAGGATGCAATAAATGCTCTGTATTAGGAGCATTTATTGTCTTTCATTTCTGAACCTTACCGCATTGAATGCGGTCTCATCAAGGGAATGGTGCAATTAATTGTTTGCTTTCCCAAGTCGCGTGTCAGCAACGACATGCGGTTTGTCTGTCTTTGATGTGATATCATATGCCACACGTCCATCCCCTATTAGCTGTGACCTCTGTATTCCAGTACGTTCTGACATTACTTGTGTAAGACGAGATCATGATGAATAGCCTAGACTAGCCTAGGCTAATGACCTGTACGTCAATAGCTTATCATGGAGTAGAGGAAGCGTCTAGGATGGGATACCTCTCGGCACCGAGGAAAGGCTCATCTCGGGGACCGAGGGAGGTATGCCGACCGAGGTACATATCTGACCGAGGACACGTGTCGGTTGTAAAATATACTGAATGTATGATCCTATATGACGGTACCTCGGGGGCGAGGACATTAATGCGCCGATGGTGCTTGATCTTAGCAACAGTGTTTTAGTAAAAACGAGGACACTTGTCTTCATCATAGGGTATTTCAGAAAAGTCTCATCAACTGCCCCCTAGCCTTTGATCTTCTGACACCGAGGACACGCGTTGTAAGGAGACGATGGGTTTCCCAACTACCACCAGTCCTTCATCATTGCCTCGAGCCGCTTTCCCCCGCTTAGGATGTCGTGCGCATTAAATGCGCCGTTTCATTTCTCGTGCCCAATGATGAAAATTGCCTCTATATAAAGGGGGCTCCTATTCCGTTTTCCTCGTTTTGCCATTTCGAACTTCCTCAAGAGAGCCTCTTCTTGAATCTTCGCCGGAGTTTTGTTTCTTCTTCTATCGTCGACTGCCCATTCTTCCTTAAAATCTTAAAGCCAGCAGACCCATCGTTGATTCTGAACTTTCTGGAGGGAGTCGCTTTAAGGTTTTCCAGAAAAAACTCCGTTTTGACATTCGGGTGAGTTTCAGAATCCTCTTTCTTTTCTTCCTCCTAGCCTTTTGTTTTCCGATTGACTGGAGGTGTCATCCGGTTGATACATAGGGATTTAACCCTCGGAAAACTTCCTCAGGGATTTTCAAGAACGAATACCCTCTTCTTTCTTACTTTCTTAGAGATGCCTCGTCGTCGCCCTGCTCCCGANCCATCCCCTATTAGCTGTGACCTCTGTATTCCAGTACGTTCTGACATTACTTGTGTAAGACGAGATCATGATGAATAGCCTAGACTAGCCTAGGCTAATGACCTGTACGTCAATAGCTTATCATGGAGTAGAGGAAGCGTCTAGGATGGGATACCTCTCGGCACCGAGGAAAGGCTCATCTCGGGGACCGAGGGAGGTATGCCGACCGAGGTACATATCTGACCGAGGCCACGTGTCGGTTGTAAAATATACTGAATGTATGATCCTATATGACGGTACCTCGGGGGCGAGGACATTCGTGCGCCGATGGTGCTTGATCTTAGCAACAGTGTTTTAGTAAAACCGAGGACACGTGTCTTCATCATAGGGTATTTCAGAAAAGTCCCATCAACTGCCCCCTAGCCTTCGATCTTCTGACACCGAGGACACGCGTCGTAAGGAGACGAAGGGTTTCCCAACAACCACCAGTGCTTCAGCATTGCCTCGAGCCGCTTTCCCCGGCTTGGGATGTCGTGCGCATTAAATGCGCCGTTTCGTTTTTCGCGCCCAATGATGAAAATTGCCTCTATATAAAGGGGGCTTCCCTTCCGGTTTCCTTGTTTTGCCATTCCGAACTTCCTCAAGAGAGCCTCTTCTTGAATCTTCGCCGGAGATTTGTTTCTTCTTCCATCGTCGATTGCCCATTCTTCCTTAAAGTCTTAAAGCCAGCAGACCCATCGTTGCTTCTGAACTTTCTGGAAGGAGTCGCTTTAAGGTTTTCCAGAAAAAACTCCGTTTTGACATTCGGGTGAGTTTCAGAATCCTCCTTCTTTTCTTCCTCCTATCCTTTTGTTTTCCGATAACTGGAGGTGTCTCCGGTTTGATACATAGCGATTTAACCCTCGGGAAACTTCCTCAGGGATTTTCAAGAACAAATACCCTCTTCTTTCTTACTTTTTTAGAGATGCCTCGTCGTCGCCCTGCTCCCGAGAATCCTCAGGCTGGTCCTTCGGGGTCGGGGAAATATAAAGTAAAGGGTGATGAGCAGATTGATAGGTTTAAGGTCAAGTACGGCATTCCCCCGTGCGTAGACGTAGAGGATTATGACCCGGTGGTGCACTCTTCTACCCTCGGGGCCGAGGATGCCATGCCCTTCTATACTAAGGTCATAATAGAGGGAGGAATTAGGTTTTCTTTACCCCCTTACTTCTTCAGTTCCTTTCTCATTTCCGCCTCTTCCCCGGGCAATGTTGCCTTAATGTTTTCCGAATAATTATGGGGGTCTTAGAGCTCAATAGGCGCCTCGGGGTAAATATTGGGCTCAACGATCTCCTTTTTTGTTATTCCCTCCTGAGAGTCATGCCTCACCAACACTTCTACCTCAAAGCCAGGGACCCCTCCATGTACCTTGTAACTCATCTTTCGGACTCGGACAAGGGGTACAAGGATGATATTCTTATCTTCAAGGGATCTTGGGAGAGAGGTGTTGGTCCCAAGTATAATGACTTGTTATGCCATCTGGAATGGAGAACGACAAGTATGTCGGTTCCTTTGGGTTTATTATTTCTTTCTCCAGACTTCCCATGCTCATGACTATTTTGTTTGTGCAAATATTCCTGCCCGGGAAACAGCTCATCCCCCTCGGTCGCTGGTGAACTTTGCCGACCTAATCACGGTTTGGAGATTCACGGGCGACAACGGGTTTGGCCGTGCTGCTCACATCCTGCTGAATTATACCCCCGGGTATAAGAAATTTTCCCAGCTTCCTCAGCCTTTTGAGCCGTCGCGGTGGTCTGAACTCTTCGATCAGGCGGCGAGGCTAGAGGTTGAGGAAAATTTGGAGGAAGACCCGGATCGGGCTTCGGAG